AAATTCATTACCTCTGGTTTAGGGAGAACTGTAATATTTCCCGCCACATACAACTCTTCTAAGATATGACAAGTGAGAAACAGCCCAAGCATATCTAAGGTGTTGACTCAGTAAAAAAAAAAGCAATTATAATATTTCAACAATAGACACCGGTACCTTTGTATATGAGTCCATGAAAGAGAAACTACGGGTAGAGTTGCCACTCCTGTGAATATTATTTGGGCACTGACAACGCACGAAATACCACCAACCACAAAAGAAAAGCTGCCCTTGGCAAAAAGAAGCTCACTGGATACATTTTGCATCCTTGTTCTTAAAATAGCCACCATGAACAATGCTCCTTCTTTATTTTGTGTAGTGGTGTTACAATTGATCAGGCTAAAAATAATAAGAGTTATAATTGAATTCAACCAGGCTTATATACCATTTATATTTTCTTGTTAGACAATACTTTGCTGAAACAATGTCTGCACGAAGGGAAAGAAGAGCTTCAACAGTAGAACGAGTGCATTAAGCAGAATTCTAGAATTGCCGGAGACATATTCATCATTAGAACTCCTTGTTTAACAGATTGTTTTGTGAAACCTTAGCAACTGGTCTGTTTTACTGGGGAATGACGAAAGGCTGTACTACGTATTATCCATTTGAATAGGGGTTCTACCAAAGAAGAAAGACCCTTTTCTTGTGGACTGAAGACGTCATTGTTTTTATGCTACGTTTGCTTCGGTTGTATATAGAACGGTTTCTATCATTAGTAGTTGCTGGCTTATCGAGATTTTCTTGTTTTTATCAGATTAGTCAAAAATGATAGAGCCCAATGGCCACCAGCGAGGTGATTTTTGGCTAAAACCAACAAGAATATAATTCCGTGGGCTCGCATTATCATCAAATGTGATTATGCCCGCACGAATTGGTTGTGTGTTCACATGTACACTTGTCATTGTTCTATTTTAGTTACATCACCACAAAGGCACCTTGACAAAGGAGACAGAAGAGCTTGAGGATTTTGACGTAGGTGGACTAAGCGCAAGTAGACAATAGGGTTTTGCTTCCCTTTCCATTGACCTCCTACCCGTTACCCATTGCAACCATTTGGCATATATCTACAAAAGAAAGAAAGAGAGGTAGAGATTCTATAAACTCGTAACATATGATTTTGAGTATGTTTCAAATATTCCTCTTTTTCTTTTGTCACACAGGATTAACGGATTCATTTTTGAAAAGGGGAACGTTACGGCAAATGCGGAATCAGTGAACTAAATATAGCTTCGGTTCAAACGTTAAGAAAGAAAATGGGTCTTTTCCAAATGCATATTTTTTTTTCTTAGCTCTTTTTCATTGTTTCCTTTGCTACAGATTAGCAGACTAGCAGAAATAGAACTGAAAAAAAGGGGTAGCACGGAAGTAATTAGGTTTATTCAAAGAATGAAGTTCGTGTTACTGACAAGTTGAAAACTTTTTCTGCAGAGTACGGCAAACGGATAATTCTAAGACTAACCATTTTGCAATATTCCGACGCACCTTTTTCCGTTTTGTGTTCTAATACTGTCATTTTTCCCTGGATAATTTTACTAGTATCACTTGACATATTGACTGTCTTGTAGAAGGCAGCGGAGGCCAGAGAGATAAAAAGGAAACAAAAAGAAAGGTTAAGGCACTATCCTTTGGTTAGGTTTCTTCTCATCAAGTGTATTTCCGCCTGCACCTTGAGTTAAATCATTAAGCTTTTACTTTTTTGCAGTAGTGTGTCCGTGTTCAATTCTGAATCGAAATGCGAGGAATGTTCATGGCCTAGCCACAACAGTAAGCCAAAGGCAATAATAATGACACGGCACTAGTGTGTTAAAAATAGACACATATTCCGGTTTACGAGGCTATCTTCTGATTGCTTTTTTGGTCACTCCAAAACCTCTCTAACATTGGCAATAAAACAGGCTCGAAGCGATGCTATTAAAAGAAGTGAAACAATTTTTTGGGCGAGACACACACGCCACTACAAAGGGACGTATCCACCTAAAGAGGAGGAAGAAAATTAAGTAAGACGGGCGTGTGCTTTCTTTATTTTACAACGTTGCCTAGCAAACGCCCCAGTGTAGTTTGTTTCGTCAATTGAAAATAACACTTACATACCATAAACTGAAACCTCAAGGCGGGAGAAAAAAAGGTTTTGTTTCCAGGAGTTAACGCGACAGAAAAAGAAGACACCCAATTACGACGTCGTATTTTGTACCATCCGATAAATATTATCTTTGGCCTCCTCTTTGTAAATTTGATCTGATTAATGGCAATTTTAAATCAAATCAGATCAAAGCCCGCCTCAATCGATCCAAAATGTCAAAAATAAAATAAAATAATAATAAAAAATACAAAAAATATAAAACAAGACACAGAATAGCGCGTTAAGTGTGTGGTTTATACTCCACAAACATCAAAGATCATGACTAAACTGTTTAATTATAACAACCGTTGACAGACCAATAATAATATATATGGTAAAAACTATCTTAGAGGTAATGTGACCTCTGATTTTTCCTTCATCTGCCTTTTATTTCTCCACACTTCCTTCTTCAACTGGTAAAGCTGAGGTTCGCAGTACGTTGTAAACAGATCTGATGTAAGCCACATTTCTCAGAGAAAAAAACTTTTACCCTACCAAGAAAAAAAGGAAGAACAATGATGGAAGTAATATCTCATAGATGGTATTGTTTGCTTCTTTTTGTCTTCTTTGTTTAAAGCGTTGTCTCTCCTTGATTTTTGAACAAAGAAGAGTGAAAGACGGAGTTGGCGATACACAATAAGAGCGAAAGAACAATGGTAGCGTGTATCGTGTATATGTGTACAAAAATGGAGAACTAACTACAAAAAATGCCAAAAGTGAAAAAAAGAAATGTGAATAGAAGAAATTGTTTAGCAGTGTCCTGATAAGAGAGACTTTTCTGAAATAACCCCAATTATGCATCTTGAAACAAAAACAATACATTGATTCTTCTACTGCTGGTTTTTAAGGTTTCCTATTTTAGTTTAGCGGTTAGTTGGAGTTAGTCACCTGTTTAAAAAGCTCGGTTGCTATTTGCAAAATAAATCTATAATTAAATTTAGAATAAACCATAGGAGAGACAAAATAGGGTGAGGTTTGAGTAAGTGTGCAAATCAGTAGTAGGAATAAACCGCGGTAGTACCGACGCGTATACGAAATTGCGAGAGCTTAAACTGTCTTTATCTTACTGTGAACGCAGAAGTAAACTCCTTTCTTCGTATGTCAGCGTAGTGGCTATAGCTTTAAGACAGTACTGAGCGCTACTCCTGCTATTGTTGTACTTGCAGTTGCTGCAGTAATAGTAGTTATTATTGTTAGATGAGGAGGAATTCGTATAACAAAACTCATGCATGTAGAAAGGCTTTTTGCTGAATTACTAAAATATTATGTAAGATCTATACTTCTAAGAAAAGTTTTTTTTTTACTTTTCTATTTATAAAGGTAAGAGCTTCTGCATATCTTAGTTCTAACTATATTCCCTTTAGTGTGTCTTTAGCCTTTGTGGTTGGTTGTGTTATTTTTAAATTTTTAACTCTTTTAAATTAACAAAAATATTTCTATGCACAGTGGGTAAGATTGATAAAATGTTTATAGCTCCTAATTATAACAATGGACTTCACAAAAAAATTAGATACATGGTTAGTTAGCAACACCGCATGGCAATGATTTATCTCAATTGTTGCTTTTGTAACTCTATTGTCTCTATTTTTTTTTCTTCTTAAAGTTCTATGAGGTTATACTTTTATTTTCTTTCTTTTTTTTATTTTTATTTTTGAGGTGGTTATTGTTATAATTACTCGGCGCTTAATTTTTTTTGAGTGTACTGTGTATAATTTTAAAGTTTTAGTTTTAAGATAAGTTTGAGAAAGTTGAAAGTTTTTGTGGGCAAAGGTGGGTGGGTTATATGTCTAAAACTGTATTCTTATGCACGATGCATTATGTTTTGTATCCCGCTTTAGTGTTGCAAAGTGTTGTTGTATTCAACTCTTTTTCCATTTTCCATATTGCTTTTTAAGTTATAGTGAATGTATTATTATATGATGTTTATTGTTGTAAGAAAATGTTAAAATCTATATACACACAAAATAACAAGAAGGTAAAAAGAAAAGCCCAGTATTGTCTTTCAATTTTATATAAATACAACTTGTAATTTCCTTTATATCCTCCTGTTTATTTGGTTTCTTTTTTCACTTCTTTTGTTTCACCATAGGTCTTCAGTTTCAATCCTCCATATACCAAGGACAAGCTTATACATCTTCGTTGTGTCAACGCATAACCAACTTTATAGCTGTGTTTTAAGGAACCTAGAAAACGAGAAGCAAAGAAGACACGCAGAGTCAAGATCAAAAGACTCCAGATCTTTTTTTAGCAGGGCTATAACTACTACTACATCAACAGCAGCTCCTGGATACACATATCTTATCCAGCTACCAACTGCTTTTTCACTACATAGGGTTTAAATTTTATTTTAGTTTTATTTTTTTTTATTGCCAATCAGCCCCTCCTTTTACAAAAGGAGAAACTGAAGGCTAAGCCCTACATAACAAGGTAAAACTCATATATATATATACACACACACAAACACACAAACCCTGTTTTCTACAGAATCAAACTCAAGAAGCAACTTTAAGGAAATTAAACAATTTCTTTTTTGCTTAACACTGAACTGTTTGTTATCGCAATCAAACTGAAACTTAACAGGGGCTCAAAACCGATTACGTACCTGTGCATAGACTCACGCACACACATATAAGCAGAAACACACACTCATTATACATCATACATCTACACACATCCTACTGACTTAAACCAAATTTTCTAAATCAAACCAAGAAGCAATATTTTGGGTTTTTTGTTGCCTTTACGTCACAAACCACACACACATCACGCACAATATATATATAAAGATATATATTTACAAACAAAAATCAAGGGACTTTTACATTACGAAAAATACAAAGCGATGATGGTACTGGAACAAAGACACTTTACACTAGTATCGACTAATGCTGTACCCAACGGTTCTACAACTAATAGCAATAGCAACAACATGCTATTAGCAAATGAAGCCACATATCATCACGACAGATCAGAGCCCAAAAGCACAGCGTTGCCTTCATTTAGTGAACTACTCACTTCGATACCGTTGCCAACTGCCTTCAAATCAAGAAGTAATAGCAATGTGTCTGCCACTTCTGTCAATACATCAAACTCGAGCTCGTATACTGGGTTATCATCACAACAACAGCAACAACAACAACAACAGCAGCATCAGCTGATGCATCGTCCTACACCTTACTCGTACTACAGTCAACCTTCGGTACAGCATAGATTACCCACGCCGCCACCTCATAACCATCAGCAAAATACACCACAACAAGTTCAAGACTACCAACAGCAACAACAATACCTGTACCAATACCAAGTCATTGGAACCAAAAGGACAGCATTTATTGCTCCACAACCAGTAGCCTCCCATCGCTCCTCAAATATTGATCCTTTGACACCAGTATCAGTTTCAATCGATACTAAAGCACGATCGTCATCCATTTGTGATATTCCAATCTCACCAGCAATTGGTACTCGCTCAGCTACATCTCCTTATACCCAGCACCAACTCCAACAACAGGCAAGACTCCAGCAAACCAGTCCCCTTCAAGCTTCAACAACAACAACATCCTCAGCAACATCACCCATCTTGATCAACCATGTCACTAAGGATTCCCGCAGGAAACACGTGTGTAAAGTCTGTGCTAGATCGTTTACCACTAGCGGCCATTTGGCCAGGCATAATCGTATACACACGGGAGAACGTAAACACAAGTGTCCTTGGCCTACATGTGATGCCAGATTTGCTAGACAAGATAACTGCATGCAACATTACAAGACTCATACGAATGGCAAGAATAAGAGAAGAGCGAGAAAGTATGTCAATCAAGTACAATATGGTGAAGCTTCTGTGACTAGTTTAGATATTGATGCTCATGACTCTGCGTCAGCATTGTCATCTTCATCGTCGTCTTCCTCTTCTACTGGATTTGGTCATCATCATCATGTGGTGTCCATGCCTCAAGGTGCTCGTGTGTTACCAAATGTGTCACATTTGACGAGATGAACTTGAGACAAAGGGAGAGGCAAAGGGAGAGACAACGAGTAAAGAGCAACTATTTGCAAAATGGAGAGGGGTATGTGCTTTCTTTGGGTACTGGGTTCGTTTTATGGGTTTTTTTTCTGCTTTCGGCTTTTGTTCTGTTTTTTTATTCACTTCTTGTTATTATACTATTTACTTATTTCTTTTATATCTTAAGAAAGCTTTTAACGCATGTCTATGATTTGAATAGTGATTAATTAATGTAGAATCTAGTTTACTAGTATATGTCGAAATATTTACTACGTGGTGTTGGGAGCTTAGTGATGCCAGAGAAGAAATTGAACATAGAAAGGCAACTACCCCTATTTCACCATTCATGAAACATACAAGATACCTTTTACCAGATGTTTCAGAAATATTGGCACAAACTCTGGATATTTCATTCACAATATGACAGAGGACTAATTTGCCTCGAAATATTATCAGGTGATGCTAGCTTTCATCTTTTGGTATCTCCACTTTATTTGAACTATATCTATAATCCATTTTAGGGCTGTTGGTGCAAACATGAAGGAGTTTTTTTTTTTTTCAAGAAACGTTTGAATCCATGTGGGTTCTTTACGTTATAGTAAACTTTATCTCCCTTTTCTTTGCCTCTGTGATATATGCCGTTTTCGGTTTTTGGCTGCGAAAAAAAAACATAAAGAAAAAAGACAAAAGAAAAGAACAATGAATAGCTAGAACCAAACCCAACAACTAAAAAACTAAAACAACGCTTTGCTCTCTGTTCAAAAACCTCCGCGCTAGCAGGCTTCAAGAGCTTGTATATTTAAAACCAAACTGCGCCCGCCATCTACAATTCTCCTCCAGTCACTCTTTGCCATTACTAATCAATTGAAGGTGTGGCTTGCATTGTTTTTTTTTTGATAATGTTTCGCATTATTTTCTGGATAATCTAATTCCCAGACTAGCATCAATGTGCATGAGGCAACAGGTATATTAGAGATATCGGGAAATGAATTGTGGAGAATGAATGACTACAATGGTGCAAAAGGGGTGTAATAGTGGGAGCAAAGACAAAGAAATAGAGGCGTATGTGGCTTATGAAAGAAGAATTAAACGCGTTTAGTCACGAATTGTGACAAACGCAAAAACTCGTTTGAAATTGTTGCACCCTCTCACAATTACGATTGCTATGGATAATTGACTAACCCCTCAAAACCCAACAAATGTACAAATGGAACACGTGAACTAACCTTTGAGATGATTTAGTTAAAGTTCACTGGTCAGGAGCCAAAAAAAAAGAGTCTACCCTCCGCTTTCAGGTTAACGTTTATTGCATTTTCGTTTTCGGACCGACAGATAAGCTGTAAAAATAGATTGAAAATTAAGACAAAAAAAAGTCTTGTCCAAAAGAAGAATGTCGCCTTAGCAAAGTAAGTACATACTTTTTGCTTTTGACCACCTTCTCGTGGAATCCTTCACGTCATCGTTCAGAGACTATAGAATGGGAAGACAATAAAAAAAACTATATAATCTAAAGATATAATTTAAAGTTTATTGCTTGATTATTATTATCTCCGAGGAGATATTATAATAGCCTTATTATATGCTATGGCCACATGGGTATGGACTTCAGAATTAAACTCATGCTTTATAAAGTTATACTTTGCTAAAAATTTTTTTTTCTAGTAGTAAGTGGTTTATAATAATTCTCACTCATACATTTATGTTGTACTAGTTTTGGCATTACAGAGAATTCAAGTATGGGGCGATGACTTATCCAGTTATCAGATGTGGGGCTAAATCTCCAGTGCAATCCAAAATCTAGCCTAAACAATGTTTGAAAGATAACTGTGCTTTTCTCGTCTAATCTACCTTGCAGAACAAAGCACCCTAATGTGGAGACAAAGAGACTCACTAGCGATCTAATTATTATACAAACCCCCTTCCCTAAAAAAAATATTTAAACTTTAAATTGCAGTTGCTTGCATGATAGAGCAAATACCGGACTCTTTTAATCCAAGTCAATTTCGGATGGTGGGCAAAAAGAAGGCTTGTTTGTACAACGGGCCAGGATACAATAAGTTTGTTGTCCTTACAACTTCATTTTAATTGGGGTTACACCAATGCCGTTTTGAGGTTTCCAAAAGTCAGTAATGTTGAGGGATCCCAGCGCCAAATTGCAACCTCATTTCCCAGGCAATCTTTTGTGTGCCAGTATGGGGAGGAATCCCGTGTTTCAACACATAAACATGCATTGGTTAGGTAAGGAAACAAAGGGACAAGTGCATTACCACACGTTTTCCCATTTCAACCCCTAAACCCCAAGTCCGCCTTTCTTTTTGGTTTTTTTATTTATCAAGAAGCGCTTGATAAGGATGAGGAGAATTGAACTTCTTTTTACACCGCCTTATGGAAGAAACGTTTGTCTAGAACTACATGCCTGTGATTGCACAAACAAATGCCACACTCTATTTTGCTCCAGCGTATAACTTTTTCTCCATTAAAGTTTTTTAAGATTTGTATAATCATGTGATCCCAGGAAAAAGGTTAATTAACTACGCGTCTTGTACGTACTTGGTCACAATTAACCTTGTTTAGGCAAACAAGTTGACGCGTTTCGTCCGAAATGTAAAGTGTATTTACTATCTACGAGATGTTTCAGAGTCTAAAAAAGTGTAGTTTGAAGTGATAAGTAAAGCATAACTGGGAAAAGCGTTGCGAGTTAAAGTTTAACATTTCTTCAATTGTAGTAGAGTGTCTCCCAAGACATTTTGACAAATATTGAAGGTGCCGTGATACTTCATTTACAATTGTATGATGCATTAGACGCGTGAAAGTGCATCTACATTTGATTTCCAGCACTATTTTACTAATTCTTTCTGAAAAGTATAACCAAGTCTAAAATTAAGGCGTTTATGCGATGTCCATAGCAATTGCACCTCAGTTAAACACAGTTTTGAACTATCTTTCCAAGTGCTTGATTTGTTTCAGAATGATTGATTTATTTACATGCAATCGTTTCCAAAGAACAATAAACTTTGTGTTTGATTCTCTTTGTCCAAGAAGGGTTGGCATAATAAAGTTGAGGGTTCAAAAACAAAAGAATCCTTTTTTTTCTTTAACTACCCTTGGCCAAAGTTTCATTCGGTTAAGCTTTTCAAAGCTTAAAATGGGGGGTTCAAATTGAACGACGACTTTCTTTTAAAGTTTATGTGTTGGTATTTCACGAAATGCAAAGCAATATATTTTGGTCGTACAGGACATCGGCCTAGATTTATGAGGCAAGTCTGGGGAGGTGAATCTAAGCAAAAAAGTCACTGAATGATAAATTTGGAGGAGCTCCCACGCTAAGAAGCCATGGCAAAAGAGAAGGGCAGAAATAATTAGGTTTGGTGTATATAGTTGCATTTGGGGCTTTTTAAGGAGGCAAATTTGAACCTGGGTTTTTTGATATTGCATTCATGTAATGTAACCATCCAAAAGCGCATATATTAAAAATAATCGGAGTCAAAGTATAATTGAAGTATTACTCGGGCAAGCAAATTCCTCACCTGTTTTAATTGCTTTTAGATCACGCTTCTTAAAGTTTAATCAATATTGTAAACCCACAATTTTTTAGTCTAAGGTACCGATTCGCAACGTGTAAAACCATGGCCTTTTATTTTTTTTTGCATACATTAGCTCTCACATCACTTGGCAATATAGTAACACCCATAGTGACCAGCGTGGCCCTTATAGTGGCTTGCGAGATTATAAATAAAATTAATCCTATAATGGCGTCATTTGTGCATCAAATTTTCTTGTAATTTCATGCTTCGTATTTTGCAAAGTAAATTCGTACTTGCATATACGACATAGTGAGAAAAGCTTACCACGCCGCACCATATACTGGGTGGGCGGGTGTTTTGCTATATGCAAAGCTGGGTGCAACATAAGATGAATCTTGGTGACACTGCATCTTTTCAGTGAAGTAGCCCACTAACAAAGGTAAAAAAATGGAAGTTTATTGAAGACAAAGGATTATGAACCCGTGGTTTGGTTAAAAAGTGTGATATTTGGTTTCAAAATAATCCCCCTTGTGACAAACCTAAAAACCGTATTACACTTTTCAGCCCTCAGCTTATGGTAACAGTGGGAGGAAATATTAAACTGCGGAGTATGCAAAATAGTCTAACCATAAAAATAAGTTAAAACCTGGTTGCAAATTGTCCTATATGCTTTCTTATTTTGTAGCACAACTGCTAGTAATAAGTGATAGCCACAAGCATTATAGAACGCAAGACGACGACTATTGGTGCAATGTAGCCGTGTATAAGCGCCCAGGGGATATTTCATGGACTAACTTGGTAATTTCTTTTGTATGTTACAGATATGCAATTGGTATAAATAATGATCAGTTTGAATCTTAGAAATGGAAAGGAAAAGGAGTGGTTGTCTACGGATGAAAGGAAACAAAAAGGGAACATATCGAACCATACCATAATCTGGAATCATGGGTTAGGTAATAGAACGAATGATACATTGGCAATAAGCGAATACTTTGAGTTGAAAAAAAAAAAGGTTAAAACTTAAAAAGCAAGAGTACAGTGATTCCTGATAACAGAGGTTTCTAGTACTTTACGCCAAAAGTTTTACGAAGTTGCCCAACGGTTCAATTACTTGTTTTGTTTTTTAAGGTTGGCAAGCTTAGGCTTATTCTTTTCGCGTGATCATAGAATTTATGTTTGTATGCTCTATTGGTTTCCTAATATGGGTAAAACCGCTTGACCTTTGCCTTGTAGAGGATTATTGACGTAACTTTCGTATATCGCATAAAGTACAATTAAAACTAGGGGGCATTAGATGCTACTCTTCGACGACTATTAGTCTAAGATAGGAGCTATATCCGACGCTTTTGTCCAACTTGTACCACTAACCCCTCATGTAGCTCCTGTGAGAATCGAAATCCTTTCGTTTTTTTAACCATAGCTGTCTCCACCCGCCTTCTACTAAAACCCGGTCACTTATATAAAACTTGCCGCCTGGCGTACTAATTAATAACTTTAGTCGAGTGTGTTGGGTATAATCACGTAGTTTATGCATTGTTTTGTTGATCATTCATCTAGTTGCACACTAAAGCCGACATGCCCAAATACACTAAGAAAGCCAAAATTCCTTGATGTCTATCCACGTACATATGGTTATGAGTGTGACCTACATTTTTCGTCAAAAGTGCAAACAGGAAAAGCAAAGCAAAAGAAGAGAAAGAATAGCAAAAACAAAACCTTCTTGGTTATGAGTCTCTATGCAATTTCCAAATTGTCTATTGTGCTTCTTTGGAAGAAAAGGTAGCAGTAGTAGCGGCTATGTGGCCGGATACATGCACGGATTCGCCCACAACCTCAAGAGCAATTTGAATGAAATCCCCGGCTCTAATCACATAGCCTTCCCGACAGCCTTCTCAAAGGGGTAAATACTAAAAAAGAAGGAAAATATGCACTCCTGTGTCAACTCAGCCTTATTTACAAAATTAAAAGTTCGTAAAACAAGGATTCGATGACGTATGTGAGTTGTGGTGCAGCCTACAGATTCACGATATTGTTAGGTTGGCGAGAATCGACCTTACATTTTTCATAGGATAGCTATTATCGTTGTCGAAACCTGTACTCAACCACCTTCGCTAGTCAATCAAAAAGTAATACAAGCAAACTTGGATTAACCATTAGCTGAAATTGTTTTGTCTCACACTTTTCACACTTTTCACACTTTCACACTTTCACAGGACGCTGATGATGTTACACAAAGGAAAACTCATTTTCATATGCTATACAGAGTCAAAGGAAGACATTCGTAGATACCCGATTGCTCTTGTGTAATACACCAAATTATTAATGATTGCTAACTATACAAGAATAGAAGAGGTAGGCGTGATTATACATGCTCTAGACTTTTTGTTACCTCCCCTCTCCTCTTCTTCATTCATCGTATACATTTTCATAAAAGTGAGTTCCATTCAACTCATTATCAATATTATAAGCAAACCCATTGATGAGAACTTTCTTCAAATCACTCTTTTGATGCAAATCATCGTAATCTCCTCCATCTTTCAAAAACTGCAAATCTTGCTCATCAAATCTAGCTTCAGCATTACCACGATGCAAGTTTAAAATTTCCTGAATGACATCATTCATGTAATGACTGATTGCCTTCGGTATACGGGCAAAAAAATTCTTGTTCAGTTCACATATTTCAACTTGCTCCTCATCTGGATAATCTCCTTCGTCGTATTCACCTTGATCGATTGTAAGTTTTTCTAGGCATTTAAACTTTTTCGAGTTTTCAATCAGATGAAAATCCCAAATGCATTTCCAAATGGGAAATGAGGGTTGGTCCAATTGGGTCAACAACGAGGAAGATGGTATTAATCTTTTGTTCAAGTTTGACGCAATTGAGGCGAGTAAATGTGAAGCATTCATGTCTTTATATCGTTGACTGTCCTGGTCAAAATACTTGTGTTGAAATAAGAAATGGTCCAATTTGTCCAAGTAAATATCGCAATACTCACACTTGCATCCGTTCCAAATAACCGTGTTCATATACTGTTCATAGCAAGTGAATGTGTGGAACAAATTAGGCAAGTCAAGTATGAAATTGGATGTCGATTTGCTCGACTTTGTCAAAAGCTTGGGTAGAATCGTAGTGTATAGTTCATATCGACGATGATAGTTGCCTTCAAATCCATCTGGAAAGTTACCCAATTGCGGTACACTATGCTTGATGGAAAGATATGATAAATGTTCAATGTATGTATTGATAAAGTTAAACATGGTCAAATCATATGATTCGTTAATCTCGTGCGTTGGAAATACCGATCCTTGAACAATTGAAAGCTTGTTTAGCCTGGGCAATTGCAGTGGTATTGCATCAAAGCAGTCGAAAACGTAATCCTCAATGTTGCTTACTTGTGGGTAAGGAACAACAATCTCTAATTCCGTGATATTACTCCACCGAATCAACTTGATTAGGCTGATGTTGTCATTAAATGCCGAAGGATGAAACACAAGCCTAAATTTTTCTAGTTTTGAGAAATGTACATTATCTGGAAACATATTAGTCCTGATCCACTTCCAATACAGATCCTCTTCAAATGGTGGGATCAACTCCTTCAAGTTGGATGCAATGCTTGACAAATTACCAATCTTGTCAATGCTGCCGACAAGAAGGCCCTCTATGCCATCCCCTAGAATGTTCACATTATCAACAACAGCCCTCCTTAACTTTAAGTGCGATAGGTCCACCTTTGACCTAATCTTTTCATTGTCGATATAAAATATATCCAATTGCTTCAATATACTTGCTAAACTTTGCACTGCTGCAATTACATCATCACTATACTCATCGCCTAATATATGCACTTCCTTCACATACCCGGCTAGCTCGGGGTTTATCTGTAATGCTTGGTTCAATACTAGTATTCTGGCATGAATCATCTTCATGTTTAGACCTTCCTTGAGACTATTTTCAAACCCATAAATCACCAGACGCGTGCTATCCTGGAAATCGACCTCTCGTCGATGATCCGATTTGGTTATCTTCAATCTCAATGGTGCATACTGGGAGATTACGATTTTAGAGTATAGTTGTTGAAGACATGGGTGATAAAATTCATAGTTTGTTGTTGCAAGGTTGATGAGGGCTTGTTGGGGTAAAAATTTTATAATATTTTGCAAGACTTTTACAGGTAGGGTGAGGAACAGCTGTGGTTCCACTGATGATAATTCTGCCATTGTGTATTAGATGAAGGTTGAATAGACTGTATTGGTCTAGCACCGGGTGGGTCGTTTGTGCAAAAGTAAAAAATTGGTCTACTTGATTCTACCCAACAGAATTTTGTAGTGTTGGATTTACACAAAAACAGAAATCACGTGGTTCCTCAAATGTTCTTAATTAAAGCAGGCTTATGTCAGACAATAGAAACGTGGTACTAAATCAGATCTATATCAAGATAATTCTGGCTTGCTCACTAACGTGGAAGTCTTTCTGAAGCTCAAGTGCGTGGCTTTTTGGTGGATTTTTTGTTTTATTTTTAGAGAAGCATCCAAGCTTCAAGATTCTCTCGATGTCACCCTAACGACTAACTCATGTATTACAAACTCCAATCTCTGGAACTAGGCAAATAGCTCGATTTTCTCACTTGTACTGCCTTCCGGCAAACCCAAGTCAGGTTGGAAACATTTCATTGGGAAAGAAAGTTCTAATTACCAATTCCTTCTAGTGTTCTTTTGCACTATATGAAGCTTTCTTGAAAATGTGGCTCAGCTTCAGGATCGCCCCTTAGCTTATAAAGACTACAGCAAACGGCTTTAGTACTTGTTTTGGGACTCTTTACACAAATGCTAAATATATATCAAGTTCCGTAAGAAGTAGCCACGAGCAAATTAAATTATAACCAAACCAAAAGACATTAGTAAGCAAAAACAGCGTGCTGTTAAAGGAAATAGTAGCTCAACAGACCAGGCAGTACCTCATTCGGTGTATGTAAAAGACCATAATGTATACATGATTAGTAACTGTGTGTGCTATCGAGACAATATTACCAACGAAGCACTCATTTAATCTAAGCTGTCATCTACAAATAGAAACTGCGACTACGGCAATGATTCTCGCAAAGCTATCCCTCGTAACAACCACATTAACCCCGAAATATACCGTGGAGGTAACGTTATTTCCGTATTCCATAATTTGAAGAATATTTTAATAAATCCGATTACACAGAAACCGAAATTTGTTAAATCATACTAGCAGCAGCAAAAAGTTGAGCATAATTGATAAGACAGATGACCAGGATACCAGTGACCCCTTCTACCTCCTGTTATTTTCTTTTGTTTTCTATTGTGATTAAGCGAATACGGCATTTGCTAGGTTTTATCGTATCAACACATGCATACGGATTTATCACTGAGCAATACCGACTTTGTGCGTATCCCGCACGCACACATGTCTTTCCCTAAAAATTAGTAATCATTTATTTTTCCTTACCCTAGAAAACTTTATATATACTTGCGTCATATGCGTTTCAAATGGAGGTTTGAAAGGTTTCCCGGTTTTGCTCTAGAAGTATAAGTAAGAAAAGGAGTTAGATTAAAATACTATCTTGCTTATTACCCAGTGAGTTTTACTGATTGACCATGGCTCATAATACAAAAGAAACAAGTGGCCATGCGACACTACCCACGAGAGAAACTATTGAGGGGCAACATGAAAATACTGTCAGAGAACCTCACTGCTCACCAACTGACAACAGCAATGCTCAACACCAATCTTTAACTCAGAGCTCAACACAAACAGATTATTCATCTCACCACAACAATTCTTTAGAAGAGAAGAAACGCAATCTAGGTGATGATTTCGAGGCAGGGGTTAACAAATCTCAACACCCGGTCTCAATTCTTGACTTTCCCAGAGAAGGAGACCAACTTTCAAGAATAGAACTTGATGCTCAGTTATCGCGCGAGCTTTCAAGAAGAATCACCAACACGGGATCCTTTTTATTACAGGATTACAACAATGTCGAGCTTTCAATGGGAGAGAATATACCTTTTCCGCCAATGTTACCCGATAGGAATCCATACTGTGTTGCTTTCAATGGTTTGGACGATCCATATCATCCTCATAACCTTCCATTGTATAAAAAGATGTTTTATAGTGCTTCAGTGGCCATGGCAGCTTTATCATTTTCAATGGGGTCTGCTATGTTTTCGCAAGGAAGTAAAGAAGTGATGGAAATTTTTCATATCGGAGAATCGGTCGTCGCATTGGGCACTTCATTGTTTGTGTTTGGTTTCGCTGCTGGACCAGTGATACATGGTCCCATGTCTGAATTGTTTGGACGAAAACCAATAATGGTGATTTCGTGTCTTGGATACGTTAGTTTCCTGTTTGGTGCAGCCACTGCCAAAGATTTACAAACAATTTTCCTATGTCGCTTCTTTGCTGGATTTACTGGCAGTGCACCATTTGTCGTGGCGCCAGCTGTCATGGTTGACATGTTCAAGGCGAGAGTTAGAGGGATGGCGATGTCGGTGTTTGCTTCAGTCTTGTTTGGTGGTCCTATGATTGCTCCTATATTGGGTGGGTTTATTGTCAAGAACCATAGTTTAGGCTGGAGATGGGCTTCTTACATGTCGGCAATTATAGGTTGTGTTGCTTTGACTATGAATACCTTCATATTGCAAGAGACACATCACCCGGTTTTACTAGTGAGAAAAGCAGAGTTGTTGAGAAGAAAGACGGGTAATTGGGGGATCTTTGCCCCACACGAGGAAGTATCCTTGAGTTTGAATGAGATTTTCAGGAACAATATCATGAGACCTTTGAGGTTGTTATTTACCGAGCCTATTGTCTTTCTTGTCAGTATTTATAATGCATTTGTCTACGGTATGCTTTATGCTTTCTTGACAGTAATTCCTTTGGTATTTACTGGTCGTTATCACTGGTCACAGGGTGTTGGTGAGTTGCCATATTTGTCCATGTTACTAGGAGTATTCTCAGGAGGGGCAGTAATTGTGTTTTTTGAGCACAGGTTGAACAAAAAGATGGATACAGCAGGATTGAGGTTGACTCCAGAAGAAAGGCTACCCCCCGTTATGATTGGAGGATTTACCTTTGTCATTGGAATCTTTTGGTTGGGATGGACTGGTGATTATGCCGAACATGTACACTGGATCGTCCCAGTTATTGGCGCATTCTTTGTGGGCAATGGCTTAATGTTAATCTTTTTGCCTACTATGAACTACATTATCGAGTGTTATTTATACATTGCTGCATCAGCATTGGCGGGTAACACCTTCCTTAGATCAGGATTTGGTGCCGCGTTCCCACTCTTCACAACGCAAATGTTTAATAATTTAACGATAAAATGGGCAGCCACATTATTGGGATGTTTAGGAATATTGATGATTCCTATGCCATTCATCTTTTACAAATACGGTGCTGCAGTTAGACATAGATCAAAGTATGCCATGAAATAGAGTTTTGTTTTTTTATTTTTTAAAGTACAATTGGACAGGCTTTATATAACCGAAATTTTTAAAAAGCCATGATGTAGAAATGATGCTTATCTCCGGCCATCCGTTGACTTTGATAAAAGACACAAAAAAAACTAAATAAAATTTTAAACTCTTTTTTGTCCTTTTTAGTAGTACGGATTTAAGTTTTAAAATTTTGCCTCTTTTGGTAATCCCGAGCAACAAACAAAACAGCAAAACAACAAAACAAGAACACAAAAAAACACACGGCAGAAGTGATCACTAGAAAAATTGAATAAAATGAAATTTGTGTAGAAAAGGGTTTAAATAAAAAACGGAAAGAAAATAGACGTGTGTCTATCTTATCGTCCATCGGTAATATTATTGTCTTACGTCAGTTTATAAACTTAGGAGTGCATCTTTTAAAGACGTGCTTCTAGATCACTATCATTTGGTTTGGTTTTTTTTTTATAGTGTTTTTGTCCTTCACTAAATTTTAAAATTAGATATTACGTACAGATGATCATCGGCAGAATAAAAAAATAAATTGAAGTCTTGGAATTAACTTCCCTGTAATTCATGAGACGTGGAAACCTTCTGGCAACTGAAGTGCTTTGATATTCTCTCCACTATTGGTATCTTCGCTTGAGTCCCTGGAAACTATCACAGGAGAGGCCTGAAGATACACCTTTGTCTTGCTCGTTGTGGCAAGCAAATGTTATAAGACACAATGTTCAAAAACCGCACTGATAGTAGAAAAAATTTTAACCGGATTTATTAACCCTGTTCCCCATTAGAGATAAGTCAAAAAATGATTCAACTATATATAAGAACCGACTTAGTTAAACAGTACATAGTCAATTCAGAGTGTATGACGTACACTCCTTTCTTCCATACTAAAATGGACAAAAAAAAAAAAACTTTTAAATCCGAAGGTTTTGGTGAGTAAAACATTATACACCGGAATTATACACTCCTATAAATCCATTGTTTCTTTTTTTATTTTCTTTTTTGTTTAATTTGAAAGCCTCAATTGTTTTTTTTTTTTTCTCTTCCTCTTCTTCTGTTTCTGTTTTGCTCTGAAATGAGAAATATAAAAAGCCATCACAAGTAACTTCCGTTATACAATTGAAGAAAAACTTTTCCTTCACCATTATAGTTTTTAACTTTAAGAGATATCCGTCATTAATATTCTTTACTTAACTTGAAAGTTTTATCACTTTGCTAAGTCCCAGCTGATACCAAAAATATCAATACAATAGCCTATATAGGAGAATCGAAGGCACCAACTAGTACTCACAGTCCACAATTAACACCCACAGTCTACAATCAATACTCAGAAACAAAATTTTTGATTGAATTGCTATATAAACTCATCATTTCATCGTAATGCCTGTTGTTCCTGTATCATTAAACAATAGCACATCAGAGCAGAATAGCTCTTTGCATGATGCCAATCTTTTGTCTGATCAAGGGCAAGATCCACAGCACTCATCATCTTCGCTACACCACCAAGAAGCAGCTGGCGATCATGTACCAAATCGTCAGAGGAATTTCGATTCGATTGGATCTGACGAGTCGTCTATTAAAACTAATATCGAAAACGAAGGGGACAGCACAGAACCCAAACCATTTGTAGGTGCTGACTTGGAGAATGGAAAATCAGCTGGTGGTGATGCTTCAGATTATGACTATCCAAGAGGCGGTGATGAATTATCGAGACTGGAAACGAATGCGCAATTGTCTCGAGAACTTTCAAGAAGAGTCACCAACACAGGATCTTTTTTGGTACAAGACTATGACGATGTTAAACTTTCAATGGGAGAGAATATACCTTTCCCGCCAATGTTACCCGATAGAAATCCATACTGTGTGGCATTCGACGGGTTAGATGATCCTTATCATCCTCATAATTACCCACTTTACAAAAAGCTATTATACAGTGCGTCAGTTGCTTTGGCTGCATTGTCTTTGTCCATGGGATCGGCTATGTTTTCGGAAGGAAGTGCCGAATTGGAGCAAATCTATCACATTGGAACATCAGTTGCTGCTTTGGCTACTTCATTGTTTGTGTTTGGCTTTGCTGCTGGTCCTGTTATATACGGACCTTTATCTGAATTGTTCGGAAGAAAACTAGTGATGGTTGTGTCATGTCTTGGATACGTTAGTTTTCAATTTGGTGTTGCTACGGCCAAAGATTTGCAAACAATCATGTTGTGTCGATTTTTTGCCGGGTTTGTTGGTGCTGCTCCCTTGGTGGTTGCCCCTGCAGTAATGGTTGATTTGTTCAATGCAAGAATTAGAGGTTCTGCTATAGCCGTGTTTGCGTGTTTGTTGTTTGGAGGTCCTATGTTGGCACCAATTTTGGGTGGATTTATTGTAAAGAATCAAAATATGGGTTATCGTTGGACATCCTACATTTCTGCCTTGATTGGATGTTTAGCATTGGTTATGAATACCTTCATATTGCAAGAGACACATCACCCAGTATTACTAGTGAGAAAAGCAGAGTTGTTGAGAAGAAAGACGGGTAATTGGGGGATCTTTGCCCCACACGAGGAAGTATCCTTGAGCTTGAATGAGATTTTCAGGAACAATATCATGAGACCTTTAAGGTTATTATTTACCGAGCCTATTGTCTTTCTTGTCAGTATTTACAATGCTTTCATCTATGGTATGCTTTATGCATTCTTGACAGTAATTCCCTTGGTATTTACTGGTCGTTATCACTGGTCACAGGGTGTTGGTGAGTTGCCATATTTGTCCATGTTACTAGGAGTATTCTCAGGAGGGGCAGTAATTGTCTTTTTTGAAAGGAGATTGAACAAGAGGGTAGATGCTGGATTAAAACCAACTCCAGAAGCACGATTGCCACCAATTATGATTGGAGGATTTACCTTTGTCATTGGAATCTTTTGGTTGGGATGGACCGGTGATTATGCCGAACATGTGCACTGGATCGTCCCAGTTATTGGTGCATTCTTTGTTGGTAACGGTTTGATTTTGATCTTTTTGCCTACTATGAACTACATTATCGATTGTTATTTATACGTTGCTGCATCAGCATTGGCGGGTAACACCTTCATTAGATCAGCATTCGGTGCTGCATTCCCTCTTTTTACCACACAAATGTTTAATAATTTAACGATAAAATGGGCAGCCACATTATTGGGATGTTTAGGAATATTGATGATCCCTGTGCCATTCTTGTTCTACAAATATGGTGCATTAGTAAGAAGCAAGTCCAAGTTTGCCATGAAGTAGACTTTATTTTTTTGGCGTGGATGATGATTTATATTAATAGAGAACTTTAATTACATAATGTTTAAAAAATAAAAAGATACTTTAGATTGAATCTTATCTCAAAGTGCAAGTAGTCTTAGTGCTTAAATTTAGATCTTTGCCAAAGTGATTTTATAGTGTGCCCTTTATGAGAAATTACCTGCAGTTAAGGGAATACGATATAATTACATTAAAGTTTATAAATTTACTCCAACTTAAATTCATCGTTAGAGCTGGTTCTTATCAGAGATGTAGAGCACGAATATCTTAGAGGTTGCTTTTGCACATAGAAATCCCCAACAATGGACTCACCTATTAAGTATTCTATTTGCCTGGTAAAGATGTTTGAGGCACAATGGATTTATCGACAAAACCCGCGAAATCCCGAAAGAAAAAAAACTCCGAAAAACCGAATCGTAACATTACTGAACTTGACTAACTGCTTGTTCAGCAAGTCTATTCCTTTAACTCCTAGGGAGTTGTTTTTTTTTTTAAACTTGCTTTTTTTTTGAATAATACCAAACTAGATGTAATTCAATCAAGTGAAGCATGTCTAATTGGGCCAAACAATGGAAGGGCAACAATGGAAAAAATATAAGCGGCTTTATTCACAACCAACTTTGGTCCAAAATTTAAATGACCAAGAACAATTACAATCACAGTTGCACGTACTATGTATGCGTGTGTTTGCATAAGTGGCATTTTCCAACTCCCCAGATCAGATGTAGTAACGAGATGTGAAATAAGGTTTAATACGGGTATACTATGAAAGCGAGACTACATACATAATATCGTACGACTTTGACGTTGTAAAGTTTTTAGTCATCGGAGTTATTAATACGTGAATTTCCATGAAGCTGGATTTTAATTGAATGGTATAAATAGGTACCATTTCATCTACTTGAGTACAACATTTATATTATAGTCGGTAAACAGTTTTTGTTTTGCATCTTTTGGGAATAGCAGGTTGGGTAAACCAAGTACCTGGCATCTGAGTACTTAACATACAAAGAACAACACAGATTGGTGCAAAAACTCTCGCTTCGCTTTTTCAAACTATATTTATCAATGTCTGTCAAATCTGTTAGTTCCAACGATGGCAAGGTCGAGAATCCTGTTGAAAACAATGAAGGTTTCCAAACCTCTCCGCTACAGGCGCTCGATCCACAAGTAGCCCAACTGCCAACTTCATCAATGCATGAGACTACCGAAACATCTAACCAGCATCATCAATCAGCTTCGTATACGGCGAATTCAGAAGAATCCTCCATAAAGTCGACTTCAGAAGAGGAGGACGACGTACCGCAACCATTTCAAGGAATCGATTTAGAACAAGGTGACCCCAAGACTCGAGTAGTTGATCAAGCCCTAGATCAAGACTACCCCATTGAAGGCGATGAGTTGACCCGTTTAGAAACAAATACCCAATTATCAAGAGACCTTTCGCGAATGATCACCAATACTGCCGACATTCTCGATCAAGATTATGGTGAGAAGCTTTCACTTTCAATGGGTGAAAATATACCTTTTCCGCCAATGTTACCCGATAGGAATCCATACTGTGTAGCATTTGATGGTGTGGACGACCCTTATCATCCTCATAACCTTCCCATTTATAAAAAAGTCTTGTATTGCACTTCAGTTGGGTTGGCTTCTTTGTCGGTGGCTATGGGGTCGGCGATGTTTTCCCAGGGGACAGCTGAGTTGAAAGAAATTTATCATATTGGAACATCAGTTGCGGCATTGGCTACTTCATTGTTTGTGTTTGGTTTTGCTGCTGGTCCTGTTGTGTATGGACCTTTATCTGAATTGTTTGGACGAAAGCCGATTATGGTAATTTCTTGTCTTGGTTATGTTAGTTTCCTGTTTGGTGTTGCTACGGCCAAAGATTTGCAAACAATCATGTTGTGTCGATTCTTTGCCGGGTTTGTTGGTGCTGCTCCTTTGGTTGTAGCTCCCGCTGTCATGGTTGATATGTTCAAGGCGAGTATTAGAGGTATTGCCGTTGCGGTCTTTGCATGTATCTTATTTGGAGGTCCTATGTTGGCACCAATTTTGGGTGGATTTATTGTAAAGAATCAAAATATGGGTTATCGTTGGACATCCTACATTTCTGCCTTGATTGGATGTTTGGCTTTGTTCTGTTGTACATTTCTATTGCAAGAGACACACCATCCGGTTTTACTAGTGAGAAAAGCAGAGTTGTTGAGAAGAAAGACGGGTAATTGGGGAATCTTTGCCCCACACGAGGAAGTATCCTTGAGCTTGAATGAGATTTTCAGGAACAATATCATGAGACCTTTGAGGTTGTTATTTACCGAGCCTATTGTCTTTCTTGTCAGTATTTACAATGCTTTCATCTATGGTATGCTTTATGCATTCTTGACAGTTATTCCATTGATTTTCGGAACTAGGTACCATTGGTCACAAGGTGTAAGTGAGTTGCCGTACTTGTCTATGTTGCTTGGTGTATTTTCAGGAGGAATAATTATCATTTGGTTTGAAAAAGTGCATAGTCGAAAGCTTCTTGAACAGGGCAACAAGCCTACTCCAGAGGCGCGATTACCACCAATTATGATTGGAGGATTTACCTTTGTCATTGGAATCTTTTGGTTGGGATGGACCGGTGATTATGCCGAACATGTGCACTGGATCGTTCCAGTTATTGGTGCATTCTTTGTGGGAAATGGCTTAATGTTAATCTTTTTGCCTACTATGAACTACATTATCGATTGCTATTTATACGTTGCTGCATCAGCATTGGCGGGTAACACCTTCATTAGATCAGGATTCGGTGCCGCGTTCCCACTCTTCACAACGCAAATGTTTACCAATTTAACTATAAAATGGGCAGCCACATTATTGGGATGTTTGGGTGCTTTGATGATCCCTGTGCCATTCTTGTTCTACAAGTACGGTGCTCTAATTAGAAGTAAATCAAAGTACGCCATGAAATAAGATTTAGACACTATGTTGTCGTATATAGAACTTTTTTAACCAGGAGTTGTCGTTGATTGCTGTAGAGATTCAAACTAACTTTAGTTTTGGTGTGTCGTCTCGGTAACAAAAATAAAAAAGCCACAAATATTACATTTTTGTGCCGAAGTATAAATTTTTTCACCGAATCTCGGAGACCGATTAGCGACGTAGTCCCCGAAACCAGGTCAACTTTAGCAGGTGAATTGCTAATTTTGACCGGGTTCAACTATTCTATGTTGTATGTAACTCTCACCATGTATAAATTACAAAAACGTGGAATAATATCGCAATTGTTCAGTTGTAAAGCTTTACTATTGTATGTGCAATGTTCCGAAATTTCGGAGCTTTGGTTCCAGCAACTAATAAGGACCTTCGGCTGAATCAAATGAGACTCCTAAGTTCAAAATAAGGTAGATACGACTGATATGTGACATTTTCTTTGGAGACACAACGGGGTTTGAAGGTCAAACCGTTTCTACCATGTCATTTTGTTCGGAAGGAATGTTTTTGCACCAATATTTTGTCAACTTTTATTTAACCAAATCAAAAACAGGTTTTAAAACACGTTATTAAAACCTTAACTGTAAGTAACTTCTATCAAAGGCAAGGGGTGGTATATACTTCCACGCGACTCCGTTTGTGCCATAGTTGCAACAATGTCTGAAAAAGAAAACAAATTATCTGGAACATTAATTTAGGCTTGCGAATAGAGTTAACTTTGCTCTTGTTCCTATAGAGAAAGACGCTCTGGAAGCTATAGTCCGAAGGAAGTACAACTCGTTTTGTGTTAATATGGTTGGAAGAATGGAAAACTCATAACCCGCAACTGTTGGATAATTTGATTTATTTTGCATGTGAGCCAAATCCCTTTCAAACTGCTGAGTTGTTTTTAACCCCGAAAAGATCTTACTCAGAAGCTGAAAAAGAGTGATACTTTTTCTGTTTTATTTTTATTTTTAGCACTACACTCAAACAGGTGCTGGAAAAAGTCAACAAAAATTGCTAGCAATTCAAGTTGTCAATGCGAATAGTCGTCTCAGACATTGCCCTCGTAATATTTGCTGATCATTTGACACAGATTAGAATTGGACAGCTGTATTCACATGCAGTATGCCATCCTTTTTGGCAATACAATCCAGTCGCCTTTTTGTTGTTTTATAGTGTTAAGAGGTGTTTAAATAATTGTAAATTGGTAGCTTTTTCCCGAATTGTTATAGGATGACACAAAACAAAAAAGAAATTTTACCTTCTCTTCAAAATTTCTTTTGTTGTTTTTTAATTCCGAGTGAGAGCGTGCAAGAACCCCCACTTTTGCCAATCATAATGATAACTCCGGTCTTTGTTATATAAGCACACAAATAAATTAGGAACCATTTGTATCAGGAGCACCTTAGTAAAAGAAGCATATATATATATATTTTCCGGAGTTAAGAAGCCTGTTTGAACAAAAGAGGAGATTAAGAGACCAGATGTTCCAAATGCAAAAAATGACTGCTATAACTGTTGACACGTTGGTTAATTATATTTCTTAAATTGGGCAGTCAAATGTATACTTCACTTGAAAGAGTGTGAGCTTTGGGTCTATCTCTTAATAACGTTGTTCTAACCAAGACTCTTGCTTACTCAAACGTAAGTAAATACAGTGGTTTTCTTTTCCCAATTACTATTCAGTGCATAGCCGAGGTTTCCAAACCAATGAATATCCTGTCGATCGGAATTAAAAAAAATAATTTTTTAAATTTTAAATTCTATTTTTACCTACGTAAGGCTAATCATAACTAAAAACAATAAGAGACAAGACAAGACAAGAAAAGAAAAAAGATGCACAAACAAGGGCATAGTGATTAAAAAGGTAAACTTATCTCCCTCTACTGCTGTTAGGAAAGGAGAAACAGCAAACCAAAAACGTACAAACTAAACGAAAACAATCGCAAGGGTTATGTTGGTTTCCATGTATATGGGATTTAAAAATGAAAACTTTTTCTTTTAATTCTCATATGATAATTTTTTATTACTTAATATTATTTATTTTGTCTTTGTTCCTTTTTTGTTAAGCGCTTGACATATCATTAATAGACAGACTTTAGTTCATGGTATAGGAATGTTGTTGTTGTTATATAAAATGAAAGACATTCGGCATTGCTTTTTAGACAAAAGCAAACCTCTTTTCCACCAAGTGACGGACTAAATTTTTTTCTTTTTTATCAGCAATGACCACAAAACACGAAGAAGAAAACCCCCTGTATTCAACAGGCAGCTCGGTTGACTCGGGACAAGAAAAGAAACATGATATCGAGGAGCAGCCGGTACAAACCTTTGTGGGACAGGACGTGATCAATCCCAGCAACTCTCGAAGTCGAAACGATGAAAACAATCAAAATCTCGACGAAGATTTCCACTACGAGTCAGATATTGCATTATCAAGAAAAGCATCACGTTTAACTACCGATTATGATAATTTGATTCGACAAGCTACAAATACATCAAGACCTTTACCTCCAATGGGTAACGGAAGGCCATATCCTAAATACTTGGGAACGAGAGATCCATACGTTGTCCAATTTGATGGCGACTCAGACCCCGACCATCCTAAAAACTGGCAGTTTAGATATAAGCTTTTGTATACCGTAACAGTTGGGTTAAGTGCATTCTGTGTCAGTATTGGGTCAGCTTTGTTTGCTGAAGCCTCACAAGCATTGATGGAAGTTTACCATATTGGATGGACGGTTGCCACTCTAGGTACATCATTGTTTGTTTTTGGGTTTGCTTCTGGCCCAGTGCTTTATGGTCCATTGTCTGAGTTATTTGGAAGAAAGATTGTCTTGATCCCCAGTTCTTTGGGGTACACATTGTTTTGTTTTGCTGTGGCTACAGCCAAAGATATTCAAACCATCATGATTTGCCGATTCTTTGCTGGGTTCATCGGTGCTGCTCCTTTGGTTGTTGCCCCTGCCGTGATGGCAGATATGTTTGGTGCAAGGACTAGAGGTACGGCAATTACCCTTTTCGCCATGGTGTTGTTTGGAGGTCCCATGCTTGCACCCATTCTTGGTGGATTCACCGTCAAGAACTCATCCTTGGGATGGAGATGGACGTCATACTTTTGTGGTATAGTCGGAGCCTTGTCGTTTGTTATGAGCATTTTCTGTTTGGAAGAGACCCATCATCCAATCATTTTAGCAAGAAGAGCTGAAGAGTTGAGAAGAAGAACAGGTAATTGGGCAATCTATGCACCACAAGATGAAGTGAGTTTAAGTCTTAAAGAAATTGTTGAAAATAACATTGCTCGTCCTTTGAAGATGTTATTCACCGAGCCGATTTTGTTTCTTGTGACTTTGTACAATGCCTTTATCTACGGTATGTTGTATTTATTCTTGACAGCAGTTCCGTTGATTTTTATAGGAAAGTATGGTTGGTCGCAGGGGGTTGGAGAGTTGCCTTATATCTCGATGCTTCTAGGTACGCTTCTGGGAGGATTGATTGTTATACTTTTTGAAAAACGATATAATGCAGTGATGGATAAAAATAAAGGTAGGCCTATCCCCGAAGAAAGGTTGCCGCCAATGATGATTGGTGGTGTCACTTTTACTGGTGGTATATTCTGGCTTGGATGGAGCGGTGCTTTCGGTAACAAAGTTCACTGGATAGTACCCACGATTGGAGCATTCTTTGTTGGAAATGGACTAATGGCCATATTCTTGCCATGTTTCAACTACATTATTGATTGCTATTTGTTATATGCTGCCTCTGCGTTGGCAGGTAATACTTTTCTTAGATCGGCATTTGGTGCAGCTTTCCCACTTTTTGCTAGACAGATGTTTGTTAACATGAAGATTCAATGGGCAAGTACATTGTTGGGGTGCTTAGGTGCCATCATGATTCCGGTCCCATTCTTGTTCTACCGGTATGGTAAAAGAGTTAGAGCCAGCTCTAAGTACGCATTTGTGTTGGAATAACAAGTTTATATATAGCAATTAATTTTTCAGGCAATATAAAAAAGTATTGAGTCTGAACCGTAGATGCAACTGCTTCCCTGATTGACTTTTTCTTTAATCGAGACTACGCAGTAATGGCCTGAAAAATGCGCAATTTTATTTTTTTTTTTCGTTTTTGCAAATAAAACCCGTTCACTGGGCAAATCAATGCAGATTCGTACATTCACCACTACGGCCTTCCGACTAGCCAAACAGGCCGCCCCGGTAACTACCAGGAAATATCTTGGCCGCCCTTCGAACAACCTATCAGCAGGACTTGTTGGATTGGCAAATGTGGGAAAATCAACTTTTTTTCAAGCCATTACAAAATCTACATTAGGCAACCCGGCAAACTACCCCTACGCTACAATCGAGCCGGAAAAGTCTATAGTTCAAGTGCCATCGGAGAAATTGGATCACTACCAACGTATCTACAACTCGCAGAAAAAGGTGCCTACAAATTTGACTGTTTGGGATATTGCTGGGTTGACGAGAAATTCAAGTTCTGGTGCCGGGTTGGGCAACAAGTTCCTAAATGACATTCGACAAGTTGATGGAATATTGCAGATTGTGCGTGGGTTTATTGATGATGAGATTATACATATTGAGGAGAATAAAGTCGATCCTGTTCGAGATTTGGTTATTGTTAATGATGAGTTAATTTTGAAAGATTTGGAATTTATTGAAGTTGAAATGGAAAAGAGTACAAAGAATTTGAAAAAGCCTAATCAGAATCATGAGGAGAAGAACTTGGAAGTGTTGGAAAGATTGAGTGATTGTTTGTACAATGGGGTCAAGGTGATCAATGGTTCTTGGTCAGACGAGGAGATTGACTTTATCAATGGATTGAATTTGTTAACTGCAAAGCCAACTGTCTATTTATTGAATGTGTCAAAAAGTGATTACATCGCAGGAACTAACCAGTTTTGGGACACCGTTCAAAACTGGATAAATACAAACTCTGGTAACGACAAGCTTATTATGTTTAGTGCTGAATATGAACATGCATTAATCAGCGGTGAAGCACAGCAAACCAAAGATCTGATCATTCCCACTGCGATACAAGAGATGCGCAATTCTCTACATTTGATATCATTCTATACTTGTGGAGACATTGAGTCTAGACAGTGGACTATTAGACAGGGAAGTTTGGCGCCTGACGCTGCTGGTTTGATCCACACTGATTTGCAAAAGACATTCATCAACTCAACCGTTTACAAATGGGACGACTTAGCATCGATGGGGGTCTTTGATGAAAATAAGTTGAAGCTGATGGGGAAACAGTATAGAAATGGGAAGAAATACGAAGTACAGGATGGTGATGTACTTGTGATAAAAGCCGGTAGTGGGAAAGCTCGATAGATGATAAATTTTATATATACCTTGTTAATAGCGACCTCAATAGAGACCATAATTCTGGTCAATCAACGTCCTCTCGAATTTCTTTGACACTTCTTGCAACTTCAACAACAAACCTGCAGCGAGGCTCTTGATTCTATTATCTATAATTCCTTCCCATGTCACAGTTAGCCAATTGTACACCAACATCACCTCATCGTTGAAGTTAAGAACTAAGAACTCAGCATCAATGAGTTCCAATATAAGTAAAATACCTGTGAGGATCGACTCGATAACCTGAACTTCCTCCAGAGTCACTTTACGTATCACCGTACACGATAACAACAAAAATTCCTTTATCATCTCCTTGAGCTGGGTTGACGATGGATACGCCACGTGGAGTAACAAGCTTAACGTCTTGATGTAATGAGCAATGAAAACTGGCGAGTAGTGACCAATATCAATCGACCCCGATTCATACCAGACATTAAGCATAGGAAAGTAAAAGTTTGCTCCGATAATTTTGTAAAAATTGGGAATTATTGGCTTCTCACTAGTTTGAGCATCTTTAGGTCGAGTAAGCGATCGTGATATGCGTACCAATTTACCTTTTCCTATGACTTGATCCTGGGCATCGCTTGAAGCTTGATGCATAAGCGAATCCTGAAGCTCGTTTCCAATTTGATCCAAGTATTTTGTCCCACCTTGCCCCATATACTTGTTGTGCAAACTTGAAGGTAGTTGCTTTGTGGGGAACGACTCTTTAGTGAAGGATTTGACAACTACGTCATCCTTGATCCCGCGTAGCTCACGTGCAGCCAACGATGTGGCGGATAAGATAAACATTCGCTGTTGGAGTGAGTAGTCACCCGTTAATAACAAGTCAAACATGTAAAATGTCACATTTGGATTCGTCGTAATAACGCTAACCATATTGACTAATTTCAAATCATCAAAATCGGGATCATTGTAAAAATTTTCCAAAGCAACGAGGTTTGTTAATAAGTCTTGCGAATAGAATTCAACTTCATTGCCATGACGAAACTTTCGATGCAAAAGAGTCGGGCCTTTTATCAAGGCAACTCGGCGCATCTCATAAGCTTGGGGGTTCTTTGTATCTACTGTAATATAAGATATTAGATCTTTGACGTATATGGGATCTGGAATCTTGACCTTTGGCTGTAGAGAAGCGTCTTCTTCATCCTCATCCTCGGATATCTCATTGACTGAGGTGTCTGTTGGAATAACGGGGGTTTTAATGACTGGTTTCGTTGCTGGTAGTTGATTCTTATCCTGTTCTAGGGACTCCCAAGAATCGGCATCACTCATATTTACAAGCGGGACCATCGGCGCCAACAATTCATCAAATTCATGGCCAATGTTTGCTGATTTAAAAATCTGTTGTTCTCCGCTAAGCTCAAAAATTCTATCAGCGAGGATAACTCCTAGTGACCGCACATTATTTGAAAACGACTGGAGACGATTACTGATACCTTCAAGGCAGATTTTGTTCCTTGTCAACCCCTTTAGAAACTCACCATCATCTACTCGGGCAATCAACTGAAGAATGAAAAAGGTTCTCGATTCTTGGATAGTTATAGGTTCATTTTTTATGTATGTTGGATCTGACCATCTTTGTAATTGACTTTTGATGACTTCCCTTCCACGATCCTTACTAGATGATATAATTGAAGCCACCAATTGAATTAGCGACTTGTTCGATCTCAATACGACGCTTTCGATAAGATTTTCGTCAATGCACTCACACGTGAATTGAAGAATATTGTGAAGGGGCACAATGTTGGCATCATTGACGATGTTCACGACATATGTTATCATAAGTCGTTTGATGTAACCTTTTCTCTGGAAGCTCTTTAATCGTTCGAGAGTGTGTCGAAAGTAGCCCCAATTATCATACGCAAAGAATATTTTGAAAAACTCTGAAAATGATTCAGTGCTGAGAATTGAATGCACAAAAATATCTGGCTGTTGGTTTTGTCGATATAGGTGAAGCACCGACTTTGACAAATAGGTTCCGTAGGACTTGGATGTCTTTAGAGCCTTATTCTCCACATCCCAGCCTTTCGAACTACTGACTTCGTTCACTACCGCTAGTAACTTCCCTTTGAATACAAGTTTGTCAACTTCTCTCAACTCGGGTGATTTTCGGTTTAACGCCATTGCAGGAACAAGTTGCTCATCCACCACCGATTGTAAAAGATTAAAGTATAGCTTCAATTCGTTGTCGTTGTTTGGTTCTGCCAACAATGATGATACTCGCCCAAGTAGATTGCCAAACCCTATCAATGTTTGAAACTTGCATATTAATTTCGTCTCTGTGGTTTTCGGTAAAGACAGGTAGATCTGTGGCACTGTGAAATTTAACAAGGCACTGACCACTGAGAAGGGAGGATAGTCATATTTGTCCAATATTTCATCCAATTGTAATATACTGGGATAGTTTTTTAAGAGGTCTATGTCGTTATTCATAACGTGTCGTTGAGTCAGAGTGGGAAAATGGGTTCAATGAATCGGAATAGATTTATGCTCGGCGGTAGCGCGGAAGTTGCGATGGAGTCTTACACTTTTACGTTTTAGTTGGCCTACAACAAGTGTGAAGAACAACCGAAGAATATTCATTGCAACTCACTTCAAGAAGACTTCCCTTTGAATAAACCTATTGATGAAGCGATTAATGCTGTCAGTTTCGTACCGAAATGGTGCAAAAGTAACCAAGCCAAGAAAAGCAAGTTCATTCAAAGCACCTGTTGCGACCTCACTCTATGACAAGGCCAGAGTATTTCCAAAATTTGAAAAAGCCCAAGAATCGATTGTTTCACCTGTGCTTCACGACTTGAAATCGTATATCAAAGAAGGAAATACACTCACTCTAGAAAAGTACTTCACAAGTCGCCATTTCAAATTCAAAGAAGGACTGGAAGAGCTGTCAATGAACGCATTGAAAGATGCGATTTCCTTGTTTAATCCTAGAAGCCGGCCAATTGTGGCTATCGATTGCGAAGCTTATGAACGAGAGCATCACAACATTACAGAAATAGGAATAGCCATACTCAGACCGGTACCAACTGCAGTACCTCAAATTGACGCGGTTCACATCATCATAAAGGAGCATCTTCATAAAAGGAACTCAAAATATGTGCCTGACAACAAGGATCAGTTTTTGCATGGGACTTCTTACATGATGAAAGAAAAGGATGCAATAAGCCTATTGAAACAGGTGCTAGATAAATACATTGTTAAACAAAACGGAGTAATGGTTGGTCATTCAATAAGCTCAGAGATAAAGTACTTTAAAAGTTTGGGGATTGAGTTGCCAAACACTGTCAAAACATTGGATACTTTGAAGTTACACAAGATTGGGAGAAGTAATGGTGGCTCATTGGGTGGATGCCTCAAGCTCTTGGATTTACCCTGCAGCTACTTGCACAATGCTGGAAACGATGCTTATTACACGTTGTTGGTTGCCTTGTCATACTGCGACCCAGTTGTCCGTGTTGTAAAAGATTTAGACATCTATTCGTCGAGTCAGTTTACTGGAAAGTACCCACACGACAGCATGACCGCATTTGTTGAAGTTGAAGATGTTTCTTTGTTAAATTTGTAATATATAGAAGATAGTTGGGTAAACAAACTGTTGCAGATATGTGAGTGATAGGTACGATTCTTTCCTCGTGTATTCTCTAATGCCAAGCATCGCGCTCCTCCTACCAAAAGTGGAGATTTGCGCATTGTGAATCTAAACAAAACAAAACAAAACAAAAGAAATAAAAAATAAAATAAAACTTTAATTTAGATATCGCGATCTTATTACAAGAGCTCATTCCCCAATCATCATGACGGATGAATTTGACGAGTCTAGTTCTCTTATAAACAGAACTCACTCGCGGTCGTTTCTAGATGCCCCCATTGGCTCCTTTAAGGGACCTAACTCATTGCACAACTTTGCCAGCTCATTCACTCGAGCACAATCTTTCGCAGCTTCAAAGATTGATAATGACATTCACAAGAAGCGGTCCTTTTTCGTCAGAGAGTCCACTGGGGATGAACCTGAGGATGAAACGTTTGATCCAGACTTGATGGTCCCGTCATATCGGGGTGAAAGACTTAGCCTGGTCGTTCACGATTTGCAACGCAACCAATTGTTTATGAATCATCCTAATGACCTAGATTCAGCTTTGTCACCAAACAATGATGTATTTTACCATGACGATGTTGTTAATGCAATCAATGAGTCAAGATCACGGCAGGGGTCTGATTATTTTGGCAGTGGCATACCTATTGGAAGGAAAATTCTCCCACAACCCTCGTTTTCAAGTTTTAGAAGTTCAATTTCCATGGCTACAACTGCGAGTCAGATGACTTTGAAGAAAATAGAGGACTCTGATGGGAATGTGATTACTGTGTTGGCAGGTCAGTCTACGGTGGCTCAAACAGTATTCAACTCTGTAAATGTGCTAATTGGAGTCGGGTTACTTGCTTTACCAGTGGGAATTATGAAGGCAGGATGGGTGTTTGGCGTCCCTATCTTAGTTGCATGTGGCGTTGTTACTTACTGGACTGCCACTTTACTTTCCAAAGCTATGGAGACTGATGAAACTATAATGACATACGCTGATTTAGGATACGCTGCTTATGGTTCCATTGCCAAGCTAGTCATATCTCTACTTTTTTCTATTGACTTGATTGGCGCTGGTGTGTCCTTGATTATATTGTTTAGTGACTCATTTGTGGGTGTATTGAGCAATGACCCGACCACTACAAAGATTATAACATTTTTCATCTTGACACCATTCACTTTCATCCCGTTACCAATATTGTCATTTTTCTCACTTCTCGGAATCTTGTCCACTATTAGCATTACATTGTTGGTAATTGTTTGCGGATTACTTAAGCAAACATCACCAGGGTCCTTGATTGATATCATGCCCACAAATCTCTGGCCCGAAAACCCCGCAAACTTATTACTTGCGGTTGGTATTTTAATGGCTCCGTTTGGTGGGCATGCGATATTTCCCAACTTGAGAAGTGATATGATCCACCCAACCAAATTCACAAAGTCGCTTCGCTATACATACTTTATCACATTGATTACAGATTGCCTGATGGGGGTTTTTGGATTTTTGATGTTTGGTGCCACGTGCAGCAATGAAGTGACAAACACGTTGTTGGAAACTTCGGGGTATCCAACATGGATTTACCCATTGATAAAGTCGTTAATTTGTCTAATTCCGTTGGCGAAGACTCCCCTCAACGCGAAGCCAATTATATCGTCCTTGGATGTGTTGTTTAGAGCGAACAAGGTGGCCAAGACCAAAGCTAGAGCTACTTTCAACTCGTTTACAAAGTTTGTGGTTCGAATTGGTGTCAATGCAGTATTTGTATTTTTAGCCATTGTGTTTCCCGAGTTTGAGAAAATCATTGGTATATTGGGTGCTTCTATTTGCTTCATCATTTGCATTATATTGCCATGTCTTTTTTACGTCAAGTTATGTGGCAACCAACTAACACCATTTGAGCTGGGCATGTTTTACCTTGTGATTTTAGGCTCTTGTGTTTTGGGATCATTGGCTAGCTGGGCAGTAGTTACAAATTAGAGGAGCAGGTTTAAGGGACGAGTGCATATTTTTAGATAGAATATTTATTTCAAACTGGTCTTTAATCTAAATGCAAACAAAATAGTCTGTTTCAATCTATGAAGCTCTACTTTAATGCAAACTTTGATTTGCTTCTCACATAAGCACCATACTTGTAGAACAAGAAAGGCACTGGAATCAACAACGCCGCTAAACATCCCAACAATGTTGCTGCCCATTTGATTGTTAAATTGTTAAACATTTGTTCATCAAACAATGGGAAAGCAGCACCAAAAGATGCCCTCATAAAGGTATTTGCAGCCAATATCGAAGCTGGCACGTGTACATAGCAATCAATCAAATAGTTCAATGTTGGCAAGAAAATCAAAATCAAACCAACACCAACGAAAAATGCTGCAATGACGGGAACAATCCAATGAATATATTGAGGATAGTCCCCTGTCCATCCTAGCCAGAATATCCCAATGACAAATACAAATCCACCCACCATTATTGGAGGTAATCTCGACTCAGGAGTCCACTTCTCGTCAGTTGTATCCAACTTATGATTGTAGATTCTCTCGTAAACTATGATACAAAGCCCTGCAAATGCGACCCCAAGCATCATGGAAAAGTACGGCAATTCAGCCACCCCTTGTGACCATCCAAACCTACCTCCAAAAACCAATGGTATCACTGTTAAAAATGAATACAACATACCATACATGAAAGCATTGTAAAGACTCACAAGAAACACTATTGGCTCCAAAAATAACAACTGCAAAGGTCTTAAAAGGTTGCTTTTAGCAATCTCTTTGAAACTAAGGCTAAGCTCTTCATAGGGTGCAAAAATTCCCCAGTTACCAGTCTTGCGTCTTAAATATTCTGCTCTTTTCGCCAATATCAATGGATGATGCGTTTCCTGTAAACAAAATACATTGAGGATAAATGCAAGACAGCCAATGAGAGCAGAAAAGTAGGAATTCCACCTCCATCCTAATGCACTATTTTTTGTAGTGAACCCACCAAGGATTGGTGCCAACATGGGGCTACCAAAAATCGTACCCACAAAGACATTAACTGCAACACTTCTAGGTCGGTCCTCCAATAGATCAACCATGATTGCTGGTGCTAATGGAAATGGTCCGCTTCCAATGAAGCCAGCAAAGAACCGACACAACATGATCGTTTGTAAATCTTTGGCAGTGGCAACGCCAAACAAGAAAACCGAATAGCCAAAACTGGAAATCACCATAATTGGTTTCCTTCCGTACAACTCTGATAGTGGACCATACACAATTGGGCCTAAAGCAAACCCAAACACGTAAAGCGAAGTAGCTAATGCTGCAACAGACAGTCCAACATGAAACTTGCTCATTACAACCTCATTTCCCTGTGAAAACATAGCGGATCCAAGTGACACATAAAAGGCTGAAAAACCGGCAGTGAAGCAATAGAGGATCTTTTTACGTGCTGGGTAGTTCCTGGGACAATATGGATCATCTGGTCCATTAAAAGTGACACAGTAAGCGTTCTTATCAGGAAGCGGGGGTGGGAAGGCTCTTTTTTCACCCCAAGCTTGTGCAACGTCTTCGTTGTATTCTTGATCAACTGATTCGGGGATGTTTAGAATTTTTCTTGTCAATTGACGTGACAATACTGGACTGGATTCGATTCTCGAGAGTCTATCACCTTGACTGTGGTATGATAGGATGTCATTGTAGTCATGGAGATGTCCCGGTTCTATGTCATTATCTGGGAACAGTCTTGGCTCTAGATACTTTTCCTTCGTGGTTGATATAGATGATGAAGAGGAGAGTCCTTCAGGATTGTGGTTGTGGTTGACGTCAGGTTTTTCAATCTCGGAGATGCAGTTTTGACGTGGAAGAGTACCCAGGTCCCCTTGCTGCTTTGTTTCTTGTGATGATTCTGTATTTGTTGTTGCTCCCTTCGTGCCTGACGAAGGAAGATTCGTTTTATCAGATGCGTATGACATTATCTGTGGTTAACAATTGCTGAAGCATCAAAACCTTTAACAATAGAAGTGGGAGTGACTGTTATTATATATTTAGGCAAAACATTCATTCCTTTATCGACAATTTAACGGTCATGAGTTAAAACCGGGAAACTGGGAGAAATATTACTTCAAACCAGAAAAATCCGATTTAAATCTCCGACAATATATGAAGGGCTTTTATTTTACTTTCTTGTCAAAATAGCTTTTTTTTTAGAAGGCTAGTCGTATTTGAACTAAATGGTCTACTTATAGATACGATAAATCCCTTAACTCAAAGCGCTAGTCACAGGTTCGTTTGACTTTAAGCACAGGAGATAGGTAACCGCTTGAAGCACTGATTGAAACGGTTGATATAACAATCAGTACGCACCGGATTTAGTTAGCACTTGCAGATAGACATTTTGACAGTGATTTATTACCTCAAAAGATAAAACACCAATGCTGTGGCTCGTGCCGTTTTGGTTGCTTTTAAATTTTGCGTCATGAGTATTTGGGGGGCTTTCACTTTTGTGCGACTTTGAAACGCAAAAATAAAACCTTCGGTGGTAAGGTAATCCCCGGTATGAAGCAATCACACCTTAAAAAAACTATGTACACGAAAGAAGAATAACTATAGAGTAGTAAGGAAAGACCATAAATGAGCAAAAGTCTAGTTCGTCTGTAGATTTTATCTCAAAGTGGTCTGCTGCTACTTTTTTAATTCGCTCATGCATTTTGCAACTACAGTACGCAAACTAGAGCGGTCCTAAACTTCCTGACTACATGTGATATATCCCCATATGTTGCTTAAAACTTGAAAAGCCATATATTTCAGTAATTATTATAGTCCAAATGACCAGCTATAGTTTATCAGTCACAAGGACAACGGAAAAAGTTTATTTGGTGCCTATTCTCAACTTTTTGCATCATCAAAAGATAAAAACTTCAAAAGTAGAAACCATTGCTTCCAGCCAAAAGTTCCTTAAACTTTTAAAATGAGTATTTCATTTTTCATTGCGCACCAAAGGTTTCCATTTTTCATGTTCAACATTTACCCTAAACATATTAATTTCTGCATAGATTCCAATTAAAAGGGGAAATTTCCCCTCCGTATATTAAGAAAGATAAAGCCGCGAATATCAGTATATAAAAAAAACATACATACACTACCCCCTTATAACTAGAAGCCGAAACACAAGATTGATATCGTCAAGAGGATCTTTTCCATATTGAATGATTTAACACCATTGCCTTCAAAAGTAGACAAGACCTGTGGTAGATTGAGCTGCAGCAGGTTTTTGAGATGAAGAAGTACTCTCACTAGACCCTTCTCCTTGGATTTGGAAAGTTGATGAAGTCGGTGCAGGTCCCCCTTCATCAAATTTAGTAGCAGTATCTTGACATTTAGTGGTGGTATCTTGTCTCAATAGCAGCGGCAATTGTAGTGGAAGATGTCTTTGTTTCTTTTGGAGTTCCACTGACACTTGCAGCCGCCGTGGTATTTGTAACAGCACCACTTTCCTTTGCACTTTGATGTCTTCCTTCACTTCCACTTGAAGTCTGGTGGGCCTTTGTTGTGCTAACACCATCTTCATTTGAGCCACCAGTGCCAGTAGCTGTAGTTGCAGTTGTAGGTAATGAACAATAAGTAGTGTAAACAGTATCGTTCTCTGTAAAGGTTACAACTCCAGTAGTAACCGTTGCTAGAGTACACTTGTCGTTAACACATGATGTTATGGTGACAATGGTGGTACCTACTTTCGTTCTGGTTCCAACTGTACCTTCAACGCTATTTTTGTTATTGGCACTGTCAGTTGCAGCTTCGGTTGATAATGGACAATAAGTGATGTAGGTGGTGTATTCTTCGGTAATAACGGTGACCCCTGTAGTAATTGGTACTTGCATGCAGACATCATCATGGCAAGAAGTAATTATAATAACAGTTTTACTCTCAATAGTCGAAGTTGAAGTTAAACCAGTGGTACAAGGGTCCATGAAATGTAATTACATCAGGAATTGTACGGCTAGTTATCTACGTACTTCTGTTACAAAATTGAAATGTTTAAGGACGCGCATAGTTCTTTCTGAAATATTAACATTACCTTATTGAAACTTCGAGAGTTTTCAGGCCCTATGCGACAATGTCAGTGTAAAGATTCGTCTATGCAATTATATAATGACATCTGGTTGGAAATTGAAACAAGATTCTTTCAAACCGAATCCGCCTGTTTAGGTTCCTTTGCTCTGCAAGTTCGTAAAATACACGACTGGGCCATCCAAGGGATAATATAATTAGTAAACAATCTGTACACGTTCATTTCCCGAAGCTAGAGCTGCAACCAGGGTGAGGCTTTTAATTAGATGATTCCATAAAGTCAACCTAATTACAATATCTACAAGGGCGTTTTGCGCAACCTCCTTCCTGAAAAGAAAAAAAATATACTTTGATAGCGGAAGTCTTTTTCCCAATTTGGAAACTGTTAGTCATTATCGCTTAAAGGAGAAGGGAATCCGCCAAAGTGATTTGTAAGTCTGACTCTTCCTTTATGAGTCAAGACAAGAAAAGATCTCGTTGCGATAAATAGAAACCATTAGGAAACTTTTCGCTTCTGCAAAGCTAAAATTTTCTATCTTTTCATTTAGACCAATAAGCAAATTTCAATTTCAAATCAAGGTGCCACACAACAAATGTACATTCCAAAGAAATACCAAGAGGATGACTGGGAACAGGTGGAGCACCTCATCAAGAAATACCCTTTGGCAACAATAATCACTACCACTCCCGACAACGAGATAATCGCAAACCACATACCGCTTTATCTTAAAGTCGACTCTTCTGGAGAGAAGAGGTTGATAGCCCACATTGCCAAAGCCAACCATCAGATACCCTCTTTATCTTCAAACAATAACGTATTGGTCATTTTCCAGTCTACAAATTCCTATATAACTCCCAACTACTACCTTAGCAAAGCAGAAACGCATAAAGTAGTTCCAACATGGGATTTTGCCAGTGCCCATATTCACGGATCGTCGAAAATCATTGATGATTTCGAATTTGTCCGAGACCAGTTAAATTACTTGACTAACCAAGAGGAGGGTAAAAAGGACGAAGAAGCAACCAAATGGCAAGTTGATGAGGCACCGGAAAATTACTTGAAGATTATGCAAAAAGCAATAACGGGACTTGAAATAAATATTGATTCATTCCAATGCAAGTACAAGTTTGAACAAGGTGCAAAGAAGCCAGATATCTCCGGTGTGATTAAAGGATTGTCCGATGATGGTAAAGAGGAGATGTCAAAGTTGACCGTCGATGCCAATGCCAGGGCTGATGAAAGAAAAGCCGCAAACACGTGAAATAGAAATACAATAGAACGCTAGATTTTCAACGTACTATAAACACATTAGATTAGTAGATCTTTACTTTGAATAAGAGATGCAGATGACTACGATAACATCACAACAACTGAAATAGACTCTCTCTATAATACATTTTTCTTTCTCTCCTAATATGGGTTAAACCGGGGGCCTCCACGACCTCTTCCTCTAAACCCGGCTCTTCCTCTGGATCCTCCTCTGCCTCTAAATCCACCGCGCCCACGGCCTCTCAAGGCACTTTTACTCACATGGATTCCCGGTATGTTGGTTCTTTTGGGAAACACTTTCAAAGGTCTATCCCTAAAGATTGATCCATCTAAGGTCGCCACAGCTTTATTCATACCATCAACATCACTAAACTCCAAATATGCAAACCCTTTAGGTTGTCCAGTAACTTTATTAGTCATGATGGTTACTCTGTTTACTATACCTGCAGGTGAAAAGTGTTGTTGCAACTCCAATGGCGTGGTAGGATAATCAACATTACCAATATAGACGGATCTAGCGTCTGATTCTCGTCTTTCAGCATCCAATTGCGCAGCTGATGGGACACTCGATGATCCAGCAGAGCTGTTTTGATCTAAGAGATCTGGGTGGGTGTAGGTGTTGCGGTCTTGTGCATCAAGAACAGCGTCAAGTTCTTCTAATCGTCTTTTCTCTTGCTCCAATTGCTCTACAGTAGGTCCTTCTTGCTGAGGTTGTTGCTGTTGCTGCAGTTGTTGTTGTGTGGGTTGATGTTGAAACTGTGATAAAGGTTGGGACACGTACTGTGCTGCGTGTTGAGGCTGAAGCTGTGGCGCATCCTGAGCTTGAAATTGGTGTTCTGGATAGTTCTGTTGCTTCTCGATGGGGATTTGGTCCGACATGATGTATTAGTTGCTGAGGATATCGCTTAGATGACGAGTCTTCATATATTTGATTTTTCAGATGGTTACATTTTTGTTCATTTTCACGCGCTACCAAAATTCTCAATAACAGACCTTTTGACCATGGGAGTACATGCAGAAGATAGTCAAAGCATATTCCTATACAATAATTTAAAATTGAGACACACCTGGTAAATTCCTCTCCCTCGCCAAGTTGCTCTTAATATTGCCAATATCACGAGGGAGAGTAACAGACGGGCCATTTTCAGCTGATCGAATTGACCCATAATCATTGTGTCTGATTTTCCGTTTCTTTTTCAGACTAGGCAACAAGCCTTCAGTTTCTGATCGTAGCACCTCAATATCAGTTTCATAGCCTCTATCGTAGGGTATATAATCTTCATCATCGGTTAGGACACTCATGAATCCTGAATCGGCACGTGGAAGCTCGTCGTCTATGCTGGGTTTCCTGCGAGGGTGGCCCCTTCTGCCCATGAACAATACTAGTCCAATCATAACCCCACCGAATATTATCAAGCCGAGAATAATGCCAACTCCAAGACTAACAATTCCCAAATGTATATGAAGAAAGTTGTCCGACTTTTTCTCAAACCATTGCAAGCTCAATGGCTTATCGATAAGGAAGACGCACGAACGGCTGCTGGTGTTGCCTTGTAGCGTACACCCATGGGAGAGTAGCTTTACCTCTTGGTTCTTGTTGTATGATGAGTCAGCTACAGTATCAGTGCCATTCAATTTGCGCAACTTGAGCATTACTTGACCTTTCTTCAGAGTGTGCTTGCACAAAAGTCCACCTTTAGTTAAATTTGTCCTTATTATATCCTTGACATTCTGTCCCAATGCACAATCAACTAACTTGTAAGCCTCTTCATTCGGTATTAAATGAAATTGAAGGAAGCTGTATAGGCTGGAAAACGACTTGGTTATATTGAAATCCTTTAACGAGTCTGGTTGTGGAATAAGCAAAGAGTATGGATTCTTTCCCTTTAGTGACTTTTTAATATCAGGAAACACATCTAGTAAATGTGCGATTGAGAAGTCGGGGAGCAGTGCATCAAATGTTGTGGCAATCAAATCGCCAATGGGAATGTAGAAATCATGTGGAAGAATCACTTTGTTCACTACATGTATCACACCCTGATTGAATAAAACGTCCGAGTTCAAAGGCAAGTTGAAAACGTCGTTGGCTACTTCAATTTGGTTGGTTTCTTTTGAAGTACTCAAGCTTTTCACTCGCACTGAGTCATCATCTACATCCTTAAACATCTCTGATCCCCGAAAGTTGCTGTACAATGTCTTCTTCAAAAACATGCCTCTAGTGATGTTTTGAAATACAGCTGGATTGGCCTCAAGGTAGTTTAACACGAGTCCAAGGTCGTTCCATAGACCTTCGTCAACTCCACTGTCAGTCATACCACAGGGCAAAAATATAGTGTATCCTTGCTCGATGTCCTTCAATGACAACATGTCAAAAGAGCCAAAATATCTCAAAGTTCGAACACACCCACTGCGGTCTATTTGCAATCCGTCGGAAGGCGGCAACGCTCCATTGGACATCAAGTCTCCCAATGAGTGCTTAAGATTGAGCGGAGTCGATATCTCCTCTTTTGTGATGAAAATTTGACTTTCGTTTCCAATGGCAACAGTTTCAAGTACTTCCGCTCCATCACCAACAATATATTTGGACCCACTGGCTCCTTCCGTTTTGGAGACTTTGATCTTATAGCAACCACCTAGCTTCTTCTTTGAGCATAGACGCGTATTTACTAGGACATGGGGAGTCAGGCTAAAGTCGATGGTTTCGTCAATAAAGTGATACATAAGTTCCTGTTTGGAACTGAATGATAACGACCTTATCTCATCATCACTAACATCATCACGCAGGTCAATATCAACGATTATCGTTTGGTTAACAGCTGATCCATCAATATAAGTATCCAACAGTCTGAATTTCAACTCATTAACAACATTCGAGTAGTGGTGGGCAAATAGAGCTTTTCGAGCAATCATTTCAACAGTCGGAATCTTCAAATGTTGGAAAAACTCCTCGCCATCTTCAAAGATTTGAATCAATCCATCAGCTAGAGCTGCTGATTGGTTGGTAGAGAAATGCGCAATCGTTATGTTTCCCTTGTGGGTGGAAAATCTCTGTTTTTGTCCAGCCAAGGAAATGACGCTATTTTCAGTACCATTGACACCACCAATATACTCCTTAAACATGAGATGGCGAAGTAACTCGATAATGTCGGAGTTGATCTCAAATTCAGCTTCTTCGGTAGTATCAAACTCGGCACTATCGGTATTAACCAAATAATACTTTAATTGTAGCTCGTCAAGTGACTTTTTGAAGACATTGTTGCTAGGTACCATAATAGTTTTCACATCTTGAAGAAACGCTGCACATGACTTGGGAAGTGGTTTTGGTTTATGCTTGCCATGCTTTTTTTTCTTCTTCTTTTTTCCAAGAGTGTCTGTATCATCGGCGAATAACAGTCGAAACATTTGACGTACAATTGATATCAGCTCATCTTCAGAATTAAGCAAAGCCTCACACATGGTTTCCTTTATTGGTAGTAGCTTATCTATAGCTTGTATGTAGGACCGCTGGTGTTTTGCATAAATGTCCAGCTCCACTATAGTCGCCTCATTGTCGACAACGTACACGTCATTTTCTGACTTGAGTTTGACCGGGTATGGATTACCATTAGTATTGTTGTACAAGCTTTCGTAAATGACTTCTTCTCCAGTCAAGTTACCAATGAACACCTTTTGGTTCAATACATAGCGTAGTAGGTCGTATTCCTCCCAAGGTTCAAGTGATCCCACCGCCTTCACATATGCCAGATTTACCGGTGCCAATAAAGTTACATTTTGCATGAGATTGAGATGGGGTATTAGACCATGTCTTTGAATTTGGCGTAGGAAGTATGAAAATTGTGGTTCAGAGGACAATATGTCTACCATATACGACGGCGTGGGTTCTACCTCGTCGGACGTTGTCGTTGGTTTGGCAAATAGTGATGCGGAATGGAATAGGAAGGTATAGATAATAATTATCAATAGATGAGCTCCCGGTCGTAGCGATTGGAGAAGCATAGTGATACTGATTTTGTTTTGTCGTTTGTGTTGGTCAGCAGAGGGGGAAGCCTAAACAGAATGATCGTGCGTTATCAGCCGGGTTTAGTTTTGTTCAACTTTCGGTTAAATAGCGCTACCATTAGATCAACTCAAATTGGTGTCCATCTTGAGACACAGTTTGCTTCAAAGAAAACTCTCTAGAGATAGCCTGAAAGAGCTTTACTATACTTTTCCATTTACGTACATGATAGACTACTTTACATCTAATACAATACAATTAAGCAGCGTTTCGGGTTCAATCAAAAGTTTACACAGAGTGGGTGAAACAATAGGATGCGCAGATTTCAATTATCCGAGATTGTATAAAAGTCCAAGAAAAAAGTGGAAAACAGCCTTTCAATAATGGAGGCTTGAAATGCAATCAGTATGGTCTTTGTCGTCCATTCTACATATGAGCAAATTAGAAAAGCTGACACTTCTATTTTACGAATTAGAAAATGATATAAGAAGCGACAAATGTCTCTTGCTTGTAGAGGAGCAAATGTTCATATAATGCTAACCTGCTGCTCTATCTTAAAATGATGAAGAGGAACGTCGAGTATAAAGGTTTGGACTGTGCAGCAGACACAATGGACCCAATATACATGCAATATAAAATGTTGCTGCAACAGCAAATACCATGGGCATCACAAACCAAGTATGCAAAGTACACCGTTTATTTCGGGGTTGTGATTATCTTCATTGCTTTGCTAAAGCACTTGTATTATTGTGTTAGGGACAAAACTTTCAAACCCAAGTCGAATACAAATACTGCCGTTTCACTTGTTGATGTTCTCATCTCATACTGCCGGTTTGTTGGATATAAACAAACACCGATGCAACTTCAATACTTTTGCTCATTTCCTAAATCAGTAGGGGCAGCGCTCTTTATGCTGTTGTCTACATTATACTTGGCATGTTATTGTTTTGTCCCACATTATTGGTACCGGCCGTGCATTGGATTTGGATCACCACCATTGGCAATTAGAGCGGGTTTGATGGCCACTGCATTGATGCCATTCATTTACATTCTTTCAGGTAAATCAAACATTATTACTTTACTTACGGGAATAAGTTACGAGAAGCTAAACACATATCATCAGTATTTTGGAGTTGCTGCATTTGTGCTTAGTATTGTCCACACAGTACCTTTTATCTATCAATTTTTGCAAGAAAGTGGAGCCGCATATATGCATGATCGATTCATGTCCAAGCAAATCTACATAAGTGCAATTCCGTCATTAATCTTGTTGGGACTATTGTGTACATTGTCCAAGGCATGGTTCCGCAAACATTGCTATGAAGCATTTCTACATTAGCATTGGATGATGGGGGTGGCATTCTTTGGTTGTTTGATGTGGCATACCAAAGCCGAGTTGGGCTCTTGGAACTATATGTGGGGTGCTTTGGCTTTTTGGTCGATGCAGTTAATTTGTAGAATCTTGGTTAAGACGTGCTTTAGGCCAAATCCCATGTTCTTGAAGTCGAGATTAGCCCACTTGACAAAACTTGATAGCAATTCTTATCAAATTTTGATTGAAAATGGGAGGGGGTACAAGTGGAGGCCAGGACAACACGTATTTCTTAGGTTTAAAGGGTTACGCCTTCTTGACAGTCATCCATTTTCGATATCAACTACAACTGAACTGGGCGAAGGAATGAAGTTTATAGTGGTTCCTAAGGATGGATTGACTAAAGCTCACTTCACAGAGTTGGATCGCCAAATTGAGCTTAACAAACAGGTATACATTGATGGTCCATATGGAGGAACATTTCGTGATGTAACAAAGTTTGACAAGATTGTGTTGGTCGCATCAGGCAGTGGAGTCACAGCCACAATTCCATTCTTGCTGTATATCAGCCAATTGCATCAACAAGGGTCGCCCCTAGCTGACAACTTGAAATGCATCAACTTCATCTGGGTGGTGAGAAACCAAAGCGATGTTGCATGGTTTCAGGACGAATTGATCAAATGTCAGGAGATATTGGGAAGAAAGTTACACTTAGACATAAGAGTATGTCATTTTCCAGATCAGGTAGAAAATCCTGCAGGTACTAAAGTGGATCTTGAAAAGAGCATGGACTCAGAAACCATGGTGAACATTCCTGCTTTCCCAGTAACTTATGGTAAGCCAAAAATTGCTCAAATTTTAAACTCTTTAAAGACGAGTTTGTCTAGAAGAAACATTTTCATTTGTTCAGGTAGCCCAACGATATTGGGTCAAGTCTCACAAACTGTGTCTGATCTTCAGTACTTGATATTCAACAATGATTTGAGACACACTGGTGTCGAAGAAGTATATTTACATACCGAAAATTTCAGCTGGTAAATATACAGCAGATTAGAAAGGCACTGCTAGTGGTAAGCGTATCTTACTATAACTCTCCAGTATCCTTATTTAGCCTAATACACGTACAATTACACGCTCTAATGGTTGCAAATCTTGTCCAATACCAAAATGTTAGTAGATCCAATGAAATGGTTCGATTACACAAAATCTCACTTGAGCAAATTTCTGTTCTGGTTTTTTTTGTCTGAGCAGATTAAGTTTAACCCGATTTGATCAAAGACAGACAGATACCCACCAACTACAAAGTAAAACACAAATGATGAGGAACAAACTTCCCAATGTGTGTAACTTAAAGATTAATCCTTACAAAAGAAAAAAGGATAGATAAAGTAACACAACTCCCCTCATCTTTTACTCATAGTTGAGCAAATTAATCAACTACCACATTGGTCATTTTTTAACTACTCAGTCACCAGAATCCTAACCTACTTATTTGGGTCTACAGTATATAAACTCGGCAGATAATCCACCATTTAGTAACCCAATCAGGATATCATTATATTACTATTTCCCTTTCACCCAATAGCTGAGTTCCGAATAGTCAACATATACAAAGTCAACCAGTATGTTCAAAAGGAGTGTCGAATACGAAGGAATGGACTGTTTGGACAAGTCCAATCCCATGTACATGCATTACAAAATGATGCTGCAGGATGCAATTTCCTGGGCCTCGCAAACAAATTATGCTGAATATACCGTCTACTTTGGAGTCGTTTTCATTTTCATTGGCTTACTTAAACAAATATACTATAGAATTAGAGATCACACTTATAAGTCCCACATGGATTCGAACACAGCCATTTCATTTATAGATGTGCTAGTATCGTATTGTCGGTATGTGGGGTACAAGCAAACTCCGAGATACTTGCAATTTATTGCATCGTTTCCCAAGTCAGTTGGTTCAAGTTTGTTTGTAATGTTGTCCACATTGTACTTGGCTTGTTATTGCTTTGTTCCTCATTTCTGGTATAGGGGTTGTGCCGGATTCGGGTCACCGCCCTTGGCAGTAAGGGCAGGATTGATGTCGACAGCTTTGGTGCCATTTATATATGTCCTTGCCGGGAAATCAAATGCTATAACGTTACTCACTGGTATAAGCTATGAAAAGCTTAATGTGTTTCATCAATACGTCGGTGTTGCTGGGTTTGTTCTTGGCGTTGTCCATACCATTCCATTTATTTATCAGACTTTGCAAGAAGCAGGAGCAGGAGCTTTACGTGAAAACTTTGTAACTGATTTGTACTATATTAGTGGTATCCCCACGTTGATCCTTATGGGATTGTTGTGCACCTTGTCAAAGGCTTGGGTGAGAAGGCACTTTTATGAATTGTTTTTGCATTTGCACTGGATGATGGGTATTGCATTTTTCGGTTGTTTGATTTGGCATATTCAATTTGCATTGGGAGCACAAAATTACATGTGGGGGGCTTTGGCGTTTTGGGCAACCCAGTTGATTTACAGAATTTTGGTCAAAACTTGTTTCAAACCAACATCAATGTTTTTAAGATCACGAAAAGCTCATTTGAATAAACTTGACGAAAACACGTATGAAATACATATTGACAACGTCAAGGGTTATAAATGGGTACCAGGGCAACACTGTTTTCTCAGATTTAAAGGTTGGAGACTTTTAGATAGTCACCCTTTTTCAATATCAACTACAACTGAACTGGGCGAAGGAATGAAGTTTATAGTGGTTCCTAAGGATGGATTG